AGGGTTGCAAATTAGGCTCCGCCCCCGACTCCGCCCATTTTTCCTCCCAGATGGTTCTTCCCACTTTTTGTTTTCCTCCCAGATGGTGTGCTCTCTAAAAATATGTTCATTTTTCATTTTCTGTATTTATTATCTCGATTTTCACTGCTTTTCGTACAGTTTTCTGTTATTTCCCCAAAAAAACCAAGCATGAAGTGATTTGTAAATTTTGAGCTGTTTTCAAAATTGCGACCTAAATATTACGTATCAAAATTTAAAAATTCGATAAAGTTTCACTACCTCAAAAAACCCCAAATTTACAAAAATCCCTCATGTATGAAAAAAAAAGAAAAACAAATCTTTGATAGTGAAAAAATTGACTGAAATGAACGAAAATTGAGAAAATAAAAACATTTTTAGATTACTGTAGTTTTCGTTGTGAGACCTTCGGCAACAACCACCGGCGTTTCTCTTGCACAGCTCCGATAATTTTTGTTCCAGAACTGAATAGTTTTCTTTTTTCAGAAAACCATACAATGTATTATGTGGATTCAAGTCTCAATCATTTCTATTGGTCCTTCTACCAATACGTTATGGAATTCTCATCCAAAGTACCTTCCCAGTGGACTTTTATTGGAGATGACCAAACTTATTTAATAGTTCCGAACCTTCGAAATGTACTTCATAATTTTGATTCTGAAAAACCAGTGGTGCTGGGGAAAGTTCGAGATACTAGTACTTTCTTCTCGTGGCTCTTCCCGCTTAGTAGTTTCAAGAAGATTTCTGTTCGTGGTGGTATCGTGTTTTCGAATTCAGCAATTGACAAACTTTCGGCTTGCAAGTCCGTTCTCATTTCAAATGCTATGAATCCGAATTTCAAGTTTTCAGAGGATTTTTCTTTGCACGGGCTTCCGATTACGCTCTTTATGACTGTAGTGATAGTCACAATGTTCAAATCGCTGACCCATTTGATGAAGATGCTCTTCGATTGTTCAATGATCTTCCACCCAAACAAATAATTGCTCCAGATTCGAAACTTTTCCGCACTAGTTCAATGAAAGGAGGAAAGTGTTCGGATCATGCAGTTTCGTTTGGTCAACTTTCCGAGAAGGATATGCGAGTTCTTGAGTATGGAATGACGTTGAAGGTCTTCGGAAGAGGAGGTTTGAACTGCCCAATTTCCATTCGGTCCTCTAATTTTTTAATTGCCAGGTCTCGAAACTTCCGAATCGAATGAAACAACCACCACATGACCGAATTTGAACAATTATGGTTGAACTTCTACAGTATTTCAATTCGTGACGTGTCACTTCTTCTCCGGGTTATTTATGTTAATTGTAAACGATGTCTAAAACTGTAATGGGATTTGTATAATATTTAACTTATGAAGTTGTTTTTCTTTTCAATAAAATTGTTGAGCTCAAACAAAAAGTTTAATTGATAACTTAACAAAAAGGAGCTACCCTAACTACGAAAATGAAAACAGAAACAGAAAAATGATTTTAAAAAATGCTTAAACAATTTCGATAACGGCTCCAGCTTTCTCCAGGATTCCTTTCAACTCTTCAGCTTCGGCTTTTCCGAGATCTTCTTTTACATTGACTGGAGCGGTTTCCACGAACTTCTTGGCTTGAACGAGATTGAGTCCTGGGATGGCATTACGGATCTCCTTGATGATAGCGATCTTTTTCGTGTCATCGAATTTCGTTAGCTTTACGGTGAATGTCATTTTTTGAGGAACATCAGATGCTGCTTCGGCTTCAGCTGGAAAGAACTGATGTGATTGTCAATACGCAAAAATGAAATTTTACCTTGAGCAGCTGGAGCAGCAGCGGCCGCTGGTGCAAAAGCGGCGGCAGCCATAAACGGTTGATCTGGAATGTTGAGTCGTTTCTTGAGGGCCCAATTGAGATCGGACACATCAAGCAAGCTGAGATTTGCGATTTCTTCGACCAAAGCGCTCACTTTTGGTGAGATTGCTCTATCTTCTGAAGGCAATGCAGCTGGGCTTCCTTCGTTCAATGGAAGGCCTGAAAAACGTTATTTTTTAATCCCGAATTTTCATATTCTGAGTTACCTGCAGCTTGAGAATACTTCGCACTGCTTCTGAGAACTTTTGAGATCGGTCGGAGTGTTCTGGACAACATATTTACCTGCAATATTTGAAAACTTTGGTAAAGTCTGATAAATATAAGGGGTGAAACAAAACTTCGAGAAAAATCGACAAGAAACAAGTTATTCCGAAAAGCAATAAAATCTACAGTAGTAACTACAGTATACCTAGGGTTGATAGCCAGAAACTATCCGGGTCTTGAGCGGAATAAATATTTTTAAAAAGCACAGATTAGCACAAAAAAGCACAGATTGCGTCTCTGAGAAACTGATTCCAATGAAAAAAAGATCTGGGTTTTATCTTTAGCGAAAAAGCTTAGAAAAAAGGTCAGGCTAAATTTTTCATCAAACTATTTTCTTCTCAAGATTCAAAATAACGATATTCAGGTTTTTGTGGTTTTTGCAGGTACATTGAAACATAACTGTTGGGAACTGAAAGTACATTTTGATAAAATTTCCAAATTTGAACAAATCTCGAACAAGCAGAAGCCGTAATTAAGACCAAAAATAGCTGAAAAAAATTTACAATTAATTTTTTGAGGTCTGTTGAAGCTATCGCGCCAGGAACCGTTTGATTGCGCATTGTCTGCGCTTTGACGCATTTTTCGTGCACTCGAGCCGCGATTTTTAGTCGCTGTGTGTCCTTATCGAATTTCACTTCTATCTCTTCTTTTTTCTGTTGAATAAGTAGGCGTTTAACTCTTTATCGATCTCTTTCGATACTTCTCGTTTTCCTCTGCTCTGTTGTATTTTTGTATTCTTTAAAACGACTTCAACCTATTTCAATAATTACAGGTAGTTCATGATAAACTGAGGAGCCAGGTCGAATTCATCTGATTCACACATTATTAGCTGAAAAAGGTGGGTATTTATTTTTATTTCCAAACCTGGGTCAATGAGAGTGTTCTATGTGAGATTCTTTTCGATTATAGTAGTGTTTTTTTGCAGTATGGGCACGAACACGGGTCTGGTGATTGCCGGTGTGGCAGGCGCGACGGCGCTCGTCATCTCGGCTGCGGCCGTTCCGTTCGTGGCTCCAGCACTGCGTCGCGTCTGCATTCCGTATGTTCCAGCCACCACTGAACAGCTTGCAAACGTCTCCCGCGCACTAAACTTAGCTACAAAGAACTCAAAAGGCACCCTTATTGATCTAGGATCCGGCGATGGCCGTGTTGTGAGTAGTTTTCTATTTCTTTCCAATTTCAGATGAAATTCGGCGAACAATTAGCCAGCCACTTGACTCCCGAGTGGCGAAAACAGTACATTGACTATGAACGGCTTAAAAATCTTTTGTACGATGATATGATGGAGGTGCCAGCCGACGATGATCGTCGAGAAGAACATATTTCCAGACTTGACGAAAAGTTTTTTAACGAATGTGATCAAGAATTGACTAAAATCAATCTCTTCTTCTCTCAAAAAATCGCTGAAGGACAGGGAAAACATCATGAACTGCAAACAGAACTGCAAGTATTCAAAGATGTACTAGGATCTCGAAGTGAAGCGAGTGGACTCCGTAGAAGATTCGGAGGAAAAGATCGATCTTTTCATAAGGAGACGACCAGAAATGAGCAGCAATTGAAACTCGCATTCTCTGAGTTTTATCTCTCTTTGGTTCTGGTTCAAAATTATCAACAATTGAATGCAACAGGATTCCGAAAGATTTTGAAGAAACATGACAAATTGACTGGAAATGAGAGAGGATTAGACTGGAGAATCAATAAGGTTGAAAAATCATCCTTCTTCCTGAATCGAGAAATCGAAACTCTGATTACAAATGTAGAAACTAGTGTCATCAATGATTTAGAAGGTGGAAATCGACAGGCTGGAATGAAAAGGCTCAAGGTTTGTATTTGAAAAAGAAGTAAACATATTCTAAGAGATCGAATTTTCAGGTTCCACCGCTCTCAGAAAAACAAAAACCTCTGACAACCTTCTCTCTTGGACTTTTCATAGGAGCGAGTATTGTTTTGCTCTTGGCAATTATTCTGACATGGATGGCAACTCCAGGTCGACCTCAGGAGCCGAAATGGGTTGCAGTTCGTCTATTCCGAGGACCTTTACTACTCTTCCTTTCAATATTTTTGTGTGGAGTTAACATGGCTGGATGGGCCGCTGCAGGAGTAAATCATGTTCTGATTTTCGAAGTGGACCCTCGAAATCATTTATCCTATCAAACTTTGATGCAAATCGCTTCATTCATGATCATGCTCTGGTCGTTTGCAGTACTGGCCTATTTATATGCTCATATGTTGCACATTCCTCCATTTGCTCCTCCATTAGTGCTGATGATCGTTTGTCTCGTCCTCCTGCTCAATCCAATTGCAAAACCGGATTCCGTGTTCCATAGGAATTCTCGATTCTGGCTCCTCAAACATTGTTACAAGTGCTTCACGTCTCCATTCCATTTTGTCACATTTACGGATTTCTGGCTTGGAGATCAAATGAATTCTCTGACCACCGCCTTCCTCGATTTTCAATATTTCGTTTGCTTTTACGCTACAGAAGTTGACTATTCGAATGGATGGATTGAAGTGAAAGGAATCAATTCAACAACTGGATCCGTGCCGTGGGGAAGTGTTGAGTTATCGAATGGAAAGGATCAATGTGCATCTGCTGCCGGGTTACGATCCTTGATGTCTATAATTCCTGCCATGATTCGTTTCCTACAGTGCTTGAGACGTTACCGAGATACAAAACGAGTACATCCTCATCTTGTCAACGCTGGAAAATATTCGACAACATTTTTCGTCGTGGCTTGTGGAGCTCTGAACAAGTACTATGAAGCCAGCGATCCAAACTCCACCTCTATTTTCTTCTACATTTGGATCCTTTCATACATCATGTCATTCACTTATACTTTCCTCTGGGACATTTTCATGGATTGGGGTCTCATTGACCCACGAGCTCCAAAAGAAGCAAGATTTTTGAGAGAAGAAATGATCTACGGTAACAAATGGTACTACTATCTGGCTATCGCTCAGGACTTTGTTCTCCGTCTCGCTTGGGTTCTCAACGTATCACTTGGAGAAGCCTGGACTCTTGATTCTGATTTCTTGACAACCGTCACGGCTCCGTTCGAAGTTTTTAGAAGATTCATTTGGAACTATTTCCGACTTGAAAATGAGCATGTGAATAATTGTGGACAGTTCCGTGCCGTTCGAGATATCTCCGTTAAACCGATTCGAAAGGGTGATTTGGAATCGCTGCTTTCAAAAATGGATCAAATGGATGGTGTCACTCATCGCGGACACGACCTCATGGAGCGTGTCAAGAAACAGAAGAAGTCTGCGAAGGCTTCGAGACAATTGCTTCGTAAGAATCGCTTCAACCGGTTGATTGCTGCTGCTCCGGTCGTCACTACAACTACCACTTTTATTGATACTTCAAATACTAACACCTAGGAAATTTAGCAGGTCACATTGACCGAAATCTGTTTTAGCGTGTGCACGGTTCACTTAACTTTTTCCCATTCTCGGTTATCATCTGTTTTGGCCAATCAATTCAATTCAGGGTCAACTCCTCCTCCTCCTAATATTCCCTTTTGATTCTAATCACATTCCTCATCCCAATCAACCATCCCCCGACAGCTTTAGTGCTCATCCTTGACCTTTTTATCTTGTTTCTAGTCATGTTCAGGTTGTTTTTTTAATAAAGTCTATTCAATGTTGTCTAATCAAAATGTGTATTGCAGTTTTAAAATTTTCAAAATGATCTAACAATTTTTTGTATTCTAAATATCTGACTTCCAGGTTCTTCAATGTGCCAAGGAAGGTTACAAAAGTACTGGAGTGGAGCTGAACTCAATTCTCGTCGCCTATTCGAAATACCGTTCCATAAAGGAGGGATTGGGCAAAGAAGCTAGGTAACTAGTGGAATTTTTTGAAGACCGAGTAATCTTGAAATTTCAGATTCATGCGAAAAAATATCTTCAAAACTGATCTCAGTCCGTACGAAATCGCAGTGATCTTTGGAGCAGAAAGTTTGATGGGAGATTTGGTGCCGAAGCTGAGTGAGATGCGATCCAACACGAATCTTCTCGCTTGTCGATTCCCGCTACCGGAGAATGATGCGTGGAAATTGGAGCATCAAATCGGAGAAGGCATTGATGCTGTATGGGTTTACAAGAGAAATTGAAAAGAGGAGGCTTCCAGAATAATAGATTTTGTTATATTTGTTGACTATTTGTTTTTTTCTGTCATAAAAACCATAATAAAAGGATCCAAAATTTTAATATTATCAGCTTTCGTATACTCGATATTGTTCGATGAATATCCTTCGGAAATCAATTTTGAAATCCAAGTGTTTGAAAATTCAGATTCCATTTTTCGGTATGTTTTTGAAAACAGCTACAAGTCTTCTGAATAGTAATCGTTCCCGTGCCACATACTACCAGCAGAATCGGCGATTCCCACCTGCTTATGTTCGGTTTGTTAAAAAAAAAGTTAATTGAAAAACTGAAAAAATAATTCAGGCGGTTTCTACTCCGTTATCCCAGTGCTCATCTGTATCTCGTTTTTGGTCTTTGCTCTTCAGCAATGGTTGCTCCCGTTTTACACTCGGTAAAACAATCTTTTGAATAATTCTCCTGATAATCTCCTTTTCCTTTTTCCAGTGTTATTTATACATGACAATGTCGAAAAACGAGTTTGAACAGTATCGAGTGGAACAGAATGCCGTGGTTTTGGAAAGACAGAAATTCGGAAAGGGACTTTGGTTTCCATTCATGTCGAAAGAAGAGCCGAAACCAACGGAGCCAGCAGCTCAATGATTTATTTAATTGTTGTCATTTAGTGTCAATGAATAGTTTCGGTTTCTTTACAATTATTCTCAAAGTATGCATTTTGAAAAAAAATTCATTTCGTTTTCTTGGATTCTCCAATCCTCGCAATTTTGTTATTAGTCGGTCTAACTGCTCTGTAATCCACATCCCAAATAGCACTCTCTGCTCCATCCCAACTATTCGGTCCGTTTAACCTGAAAATGTATGGGACACAAGGACCGAAGTATACTTTCCACGCGAGGAACGGTTTCTGCATCCACAACGTCTTCATATCTGGATTACATCCGATCATGTCTCCCAGCTCATGCATATAGTTTACAAAGTCCACTTGAATTGTGTGCCTTCGACTATCCACGTATCTGGCTCTCATGGTTTCTCTCTTCAGGACAACGTCGTCTTTCATCTGAATACATACTTTATATTTTATTATGCTTGAATAAAAAAATTCGGAGCTAACAAAGAAAGAAGAACGCCGGTGTTCGAAGGTCCAACGACATCTACAGTAATCAACAATATTTTTATGTTCCGAATTTATTTTCTCGTTTTTCACTGCTTGCTGTAGAGTTTTCTGTCATTTTTTTTCCCAAAAAAAGTCGGAGAGTACAATTTTTAGTAAATAACGAAGAAATTGCCAGAAAACGCGAGAAAATCGAGAAAATCAATCCGGAAAAGAAATACATTTTTTGGTTACGGTAGTTTTCGTTCTGAAAATATGAAATTCTGAGATTACAAAATATTTGAAACTAGAAAATTCAAAAATTCCGAAGTTCTGAATTTTTTCAATAAATTTCCTAATTCGAAAAATCCTAAAACCTTCTTAAAACTCTAAAATTTGAATTTGAATTTTTTAATATTTTCCAAATGTTAAATTTTTCACTTTCAAAATGTATATTCTTAATTTTTTTAATTTTCAAAATTTTGATTTTCATGTATGTTTTTTTAACAATACCTCATCTCTACTTGGCAATGCTCTACCTCCTGCAAAGGTCTCTAAATAAACTCTGGCTTGCATTTCACTGATTGGCATAATCGATCCGATTGGCTGAATGAGTCCAATTACAGCCAAACTGTTATGATCAGAAGTAGCCAATGGGAACATGTATTTGTAGGCATCTGTCTTATTCTCATTCACAGTCACCAGTTGTCCCCCTTCGATCAAATTAAAATGGAATGAGAATCCAGTGGCGAGAAGTACTTCATCAACTCCTTCCACGACAGATCCATCTTCGAATTCAATTGAATTTCCTTCTCCGAATGATTTGATTCCTGGTTTCACTCGAACTGTTCCACAAGCAATTCGGTTTGGCAACTCGTCATTGATTGTTATATGGGCGCTAGAAGAAAGGTTTTCTGATGAAAAAATTTTAATTTTCTCAAATGAAACAAACTTCATAGGATGATGTTTTGGCTTGAGTCCATATCTTTCGTGATCAAATCTCAATTGAGAAGTCTCTCCATGTTCCAGTTGACGAGTTGGATAGGGATGGTTTGGGATAGGAACATTTGGAATTTTCTGAAAAATGAACAGAGTTTAAAATTAGCTTTGTGACTTTAGAAAAAAATTAAATGTATTTTTCAGAAAATCCAAAACTCGAAAATCGCTCAAAAATTTGAAATTCTGAAATTCTGAAACTCTTGAAATTCTGATAGATTACCGTAGAAATTTTTGAACTCACGAATTGAAAGCCAAATCAACTGGTTCTCCTCTATCGAACAGCCGATTAAAAACCCAACTTCCTCTTCGTGTAACCAGATAAACCTGCTTCGCAACTCGACTCAATTCCACTGCGCAATCACCTCCAGAGTTTCCCAATCCAACGACGACGACCACTTTATCTTCATAACCCTTTTGATCTTTATAGTCATGAGAATGAACAATTCTTCCTTTGAATTTCTCTTGTCCTGGCCATGGATTTGGATGATATGGAATAGCATGATGTCCAGAGCACAACATCACTCCATCGAACACTTTCACATGTTCTTTTCCTTCTCTGAAAAGAAAGATATTTATAACATTTTTCAATCTTTCACTATCATTTCTAATAACATTCACCAGATTCTGTATGTGCGTATGTATGTAGCGCACCTTATCACCCATTCAAAGTTGACCGATCAAGCTGAAACCTGGACAGATAGATCACAATTGTGTCTTAGTTAATGCCCGAACGTTTGGTTTTTCGAAATTTTGATTTTGAAGTCTTCTGGAGACGTTCCTTGGTTTCACCACAGTAAAGGGTGGTGGACAGAAAGGAGATGGTGGAGGGCGACCGGAGGCCAGGAGGTCCAGCCCCGAAAGGGCGTTAATCGACTGGTTGAAAATTACTACCGTAAACCAAACCATCAACTTCGAACTTATATATCTTCATTTCTATGTAAGATATCGAAAATGTAAGCTTTTGAAATGTCGAATTCCAGCAAAAAACACGAATTCGAAAATTCGCAAAATTCTGAATCTAGATTTTCTGAATTTTTGATACTTCGATTTTCGAAATTTTCAAAATTCTAAATTTCAGACTTTCAAATGACTAACTTTCGGAACCTCCAACATTCTTAGATTTCCCTTTTCTGACTTGCTGAAATTTCGAAATTCAGAACTTTCTCATTTTGAATTCCCAGATTTGCAAAATTTTGAATTCTGAATCAAAATGTTCTGAAATAATTCTTACCCATCAGTAAAGCGAACTTTCCACTTTCCAGTAGTCTCATAATCATCATTTCTGTCGATTGAAATCACACTATGATTTAGTTTTATATACTTCATCAGCTCAAAATTCTTTGCGTAATTCTTCAAATATCTACACATTTCTGTGTTGTGCATGAAGTTAGCCATAGTGTCCTCTGGTGGAAAATCTGAAAACGCCGTCATTTCTTTCGATGAGTTGATTACGGTAGACTTCATAACTGTGGACACTGAAATCTCTTTGTTATTTTAGAGTCTTTTTTCAAAAGAATTACAATCTGTCTGATTCGGTTTGTAGTTCCATAATCCGCCGATATCGTTCGATTTCTCGAAGCAAGTGACTTCGACATTTGGATACAATAGGGCATGTCTGAAAAGGAAAAACTTATTTGTCAAATGATAAAAGAAGCAATGAATGAATTCGCTGACCAACTGGTTGTTCATTAAACTGACAAGGACATACAAAAAACACAGAAAAATCAGAAAATCAAGTTTGGTGGTTTTTTGGTTTAATCTTTTTTTCGAAAACTAGCGATAAACTTAATAAACTGGACTCTGTCGATACCATTTTCCAAATATTGATATTTTGTAGTACTTGTTGATTTCTATCATATCTAATTTAGTTTGTCCAAAAATATTGATTCTGAAAAAAACTATGGACCCGGTTTACAAGATAAACAGTTTTTATAAGAATTTTTGTAGCATGGAACAATTTATTATGAAACACTTCATTGTTTGCTGAAACTGGGTTGCTCAAAGTATTGTTTATCAACATATTTTTGACTGAAAATCACGATTTCTGATTGTGCGGCACGTAGGAAGACTGAAGTTTTCATTGTAAACAAGGTGAACAGGAAAACTTTTGGTCAACTGTTGGAGTGCCCATTTTAACCCATTTGAATTGGATTTTAAAGGATTTAGAATTGAAGAAGTAGTCTGGAAAAAAATTTTCCAGTTGGTTTCATAACCTTTGAATAACTATTTTTCTCTATATTTGCTCTCAAATTAGCGTTATTTATGAGCTACTGTGCCTAGCTTTTTTTGAATTCTCACCTAGTTTTTGAGCATTTACAATTTTTTCTAAACTTGAAAATGTTTCTAATACAGTACAGTCACAGAAAACCGACAATCCCACTCACCTGATAGATGGGAGTCCAGAAGCACCAGCGCCCACGACTAGAAGCTGTTTTTTCTCCATTGTGATACAACAAAAAGAAGTAGAAGACGATGATAGAAAAATAACTGATCGAATCGGTCACTCCCAGTGTCTTTTATAGGTTTTTGTGTAGTCGAATTGATATCAAATCGGGTAGACTGACTAGAATGAGAGACCAAATTAGAGATAAGACGCAGACAAGACTACAGATGATGGGCACAGGATGGGCTACAATTGTTTTGTTTGGGAAGAGTGTAGCTGATCAAGTAAACTTCTTGGTTGATAGTGCAATCTGTCACAGAGTTGATGGCAAATATGTACTGTAGTTTCTGGAGAACAAGACTAGAACTCCCAATTTTTTGGATTATTGTAGCTTTTGTAAATTTTTTATTGGAAAAGTAAAAAAATCAGAAAAAAATTTCAGAAGAAAGTTTTAAAATTTCAGACATATGGCTTTTCTGAGTTTCAGCAACTCAGTGTTTTGAAATCCCTGAATTTTGGAATATCTCCTCAAAGTTCGAAAATCGCAGAAAATTAATTTTCGGTAGATGTTCGCAACTTTCGACAACTTCGATTTTTTTTCGGATTACTGTAGATGTGTTATTTGAAAAGTCTACAGGGTGGCTTTTAATTATTGCAACGCATTCAAAATGAGCGTATCTCAAGAAGTATAAAACAAAATCCGATCTAACTCAAGCGAATATTTATTCGTATGTATGAAAATAGAAAACAGAAGAAATTATTCGATTCTGCCACCTTTCGCGGCGATGACAGCTCGAAGACGTCTTGGGTACGCGTCGACTGTGGCACGGAGGTATTCCACCGACAATTTGTCCCATTCCTCCACCAATTTCTTCTTCAATGCCTCAACACTCGAATGGGGTCTTGCACAGACCTTATTTTGAAGAACTCCCCAGATGGAGAAGTCGAGAGGATTCAAATCCGGAGAGGAAGCAGGCCATCCATCCTTCTTGATGAACTGCGGCAAGTGACGCTCGCACCAGTCTTGAGTGAACTTTGCAGTATGGGCAGGTGCCCCATCTTGTTGGAAGATCCAATGTTGTCCGGCAAAGTGATTTTCGGCCCATGGAAGCAAATGCTTCTTCAAAATTTCTTCTACGTAATACTCTTTGTTGATGAGCGTCACTTGCCGCAGTTCATCAAGAAGGATGGATGGCCTGCTTCCTCTCCGGATTTGAATCCTCTCGACTTCTCCATCTGGGGAGTTCTTCAAAATAAGGTCTGTGCAAGACCCCATTCGAGTGTTGAGGCATTGAAGAAGAAATTGGTGGAGGAATGGGACAAATTGTCGGTGGAATACCTCCGTGCCACAGTCGACGCGTACTATTTTCATACATACGAATAAATATTCGCTTGAGTTAGATCGGATTTTGTTTTATACTTCTTGAGATACGCTCATTTTGAATGCGTTGCAATAATTAAAAGCCACCCTGTAAACTTAAAACAAATTTTTAGAAGAACATTCCAAAGTTTCAGAATTTTAGAATTTCGAATTCTAGAATTCAAGAATTTCAGAAATTCAGAATTCTATTTTTTTTTGTAACTTCAGAATTTCAGAGATTCACCGATTTTTTTTTTGAAAAACTCAAAAATTGAAAACAATTTTCGAAGCTTCCCAATTTTTGGATTACTGTATTTTTTGAAAATTTTATTTGACTAGTCCAAAACATAGAAAAAGAGATAATGTTGAATCAAAACATTTCGGAATCTTAGAATCAGAATTTTGTTTTTTTCCAAAATCGAACAATTCAGAATCTAAATTTGTTCCAGAAGAATCCTAAAGTTAACACATTATCATTAACAACAGAAATAAGTAAAGTAAAAGACATTCATTAGTTCAAAACACTTAAGGGTCCCTTAATCTCCATCTTCTATTTTATCACTGTCAATGTGGATCTTCCAGCAGCCGCACACACTTCAGCAAGCAATGAATTTGTGAATACAGATGTTAATTGAATCACTTTTTTGGTAATTGGACAGCTTGGATTTGGGATCACTTTCTTATGCACATCCACTTTGGCCATTTTCTTCTGAAAACTTTTGTGTAACTCTAATACACTCTAATAGAACGCCATCTCTAACTTTAACTTTGAGCTCAATTATCTTATTTCTTGTAGAAGTCAACTAACAAAATGTTTATAATGTTTTCAAAAATAGTTTGTTAGTTGACCACTTGTTGATATCTTTTTTTCTGATCAATAAATTATTATGTGGATAATTATTATGTGGATCTAATACAGGAAATGAGACATATGGGCTCAAAGTTGACGATATGTGTGGGCTAGAGGAAATACGGTAATTTAAAACCTCCCTAATTTTTACCTTAATGTAATAGAAGAGTGATGTGTATAATGATGCGTACTGTGTCAATGACTCCACAGACTTTGGACGTTGTGCACGGAGAGCTTTGACGATTTCATAAAGTGATGGCTCTTCGGCTTTGTTCAATTGGAAAACAGCTACAGATAACGCAATGAAGTATCCGGCTCGACCTGCTCCATGCTTTGACACTACCATTGCTGATTCGTCTTTTGCCTGAGAACTTTTTTTTTCAAAAAAATCCATACTTGAAAAATTAGAGCCTGGCCCGCGAGTCTGGGGCCCGGGTTATCCAAATTTAAAAACAATTGAATTTTCAGAATTTTTCCGGGAAAAAATTATTTTACTCTTGGAAAGTTTTTTATTTGACAGATAAATCATCTCTTTTTTTTATGGACCCCAAAAAAAATTTTTTCAACCGGGCCTTGAAAATTTCGAAAAAAGCCTGACCCATTACAAGTATACAGAAAACAAACCCACCGTTGTCAAGAAGTTCATCAACTCAATGGTCTCTTTAATCACAACTGCCTGCTTCGAATAGACACTTTCGAAATTCCAATTCTTGATCACCGAGATATTACAAATGATAGAATTCGAACATCCTTCAGGCAAAACTTCAATCAGAAATCGATGAACATCTTCACTGGCCGTCTCCACTCTTCGATTATTGACAAACATCGTTCCATGATACACATGAGATCCACATCGATTCGGAAAGAATTCGATGGATTCTTGATCAGTGATAATTTCAATAAAAGTCACTCTTTTATCAAAAATCACTTTCCAAAATGCCTCTTCATTCCCTTTGACTGGAATCTGTCCAGAATAAATATTCTGTTGAAGTGGTACTTGTATCAGACTCATGTTGACGTAGATATTCTCAAAAGTGATCAAATTCGAATCAAGAGCTGGATAATCATCTGTTGATTGATTCAACCCTCCATTCGATTTCCATCGCTTACATTCTGTCTCCACGTTCACTGTCATCATTTGAAGTCGTTCGAATTCCGCCTTCGTCTTCCCAAAATCAACTTTATCGAGCCAAGACTTTGCAACATCTTCTCCAACCCATTTATCAGTTGTTGATAAGGTGGAATTGGGAGTAACTGTTGAATGAATCTTGAGCGATGAGTCAACAACTGGAGCCGGAGATCTGACTGAATGCATTTTGGATCCTCTTCCTTTCATCGATGTAGTATCATCCTTTGGGGGTTTGTGACTCTTTGGTTCCTCCTCTCGGGATTTTTTCCCGTGAGCTGGTGGAACTGAATGATGGTTGTGAGGACCAGGAGGCGTGTGAAGGATCGCTTCTGGAGGTGTTGCTACATTCAGGGCTCTTAACTGTTTCTGTAGCTCCATATCGGCAGCATCTGCGTCTAACTTTTTCTTTTTCTGATTCTTGCTTTTTGCCTTCTTCTTGTGCGTTTTTGAAGACACTGCTGTAGATGGTTGCTCCTTACTTCCACCATCATTGTCTCTTCGATGACGACGATGTTCCGCTGATTTCTTCTTCGAATCCTTTTCATATGCTGTGCTCGTCGTGTGTTCCGATGATGCCCTGCTGTTTTTCTTTTTCGGCTGCCGACTATTTTTCGTTTTAGCACCAGCGTTCTTCTTTGCAAAGCTACTGTAATTTTGAGAAGGTTGTAGAAATCGGGGATCGGGGTGAAACTTACAACGGTCCCATTCTTGTCTGAATGTTTCTTGTTTATTAGAGAGTGAGAAGCCTGGTTACGAAAGCAAAAGAAACGAATAATTTGAAACTGATATCGTTGGTTTCTGTTGGTATTGGTGGTTTGGAGGTTGAAAGGAGAAGTGGAACACGGTGAGTACGATTAAGGGATTCTTTTTTATTTTTTTTTTACTTGAATAAATGACATATGAAATTCTGAGATTCGGAATATCTGAAAATATGAATATCTGAAATTCCGAAAATTTTTTAATTTTTGAAATTCTGATGTTCTGATATTCTGAGATTTTGAGATTCTGAGGTTCTGAATATCTGAAATTCGGAAGGTTGAGATTCTGACATTTTGAAATTTTGAAAATTTGGAATTCTGAAATTCTGAGTTTTCGAAAGTTTGAAATTCTGCAATTCTGAGTTTCTGTTTTTCTGAAAAGTCTTCAATTCCGAAAAAATGCGATACTGAAATTTTGAAATTCGGAAATTCAGCAAGTTTCCTAAATGTTGAAATTCTAACAAGGGAGTTACTTGAGGGAGCAGTTTTAACTTTTTTTGAAATTTTGAGAGCAGATAGAAGAGCTTATGAGGATTACAAATCTGTTTAAAAAAATCAGCAAAATGCTCACGTGAGCTGAGTTATGACCTAGAAAAGTTTCCCTATGATTAAGCACTTTCTCGTCAAATTTTTTTCACGGAATAGTGTATTTCAAATAATAATAATAGTTAATAGTGCAAATAGTTTTTTTTGTATAGTGTATTTTAAGACAATAGATTTCAATCAGCAGTGTGGTAAAGTGGTAAAATGGCAAGTTCAGAGGAGGAAGGTTGTAGGTTCGATTCTCCCGATCTAAAAAATGTTGCAACACTTTTTTTTTATTTCAAGCTGTCATAACTGGCTCTGGAATAAAATTTACGCAATCTCAACATGTTTTTCGGGAGTTTCTCGTTATGAATAGGCATTTTCCAGAATAAAAACAGACATTTAATTTTTGAAGAAATTCAAAAATATGCTCATGGGTTCATCGAAGATTTTTCAAATTTTTTTTTCAAATTTTTTTGTTTTATTGAAAAAAACAGTTGAAGATTCTAAACACATCGGCGACATTCGATGACAAACTGCTGAAAACATATGTTCTTGGCACAATACGCGCATTTGACCATTGACAATCTTTTGCACCCAGATAATTGGCACTTTCCATAAACTTTCCGGTCGAAGCAATATTGAATTGGTCTGTCACATTTCGGAGCGCAACTGTCCAAATAACCGCCAGAATACCAGGCCAAGCATATTGGCAGATGTGCTCTCCCATCTTCCAAGAATGGAGACAATATGCCTGGTATTCTGGCGGCTATGTGGACAGTTGCGCTCCGAATGTGACAGACCAATTCAATATTGCTTCAACCGGAAAGTTTATGGAAAGTGCCAATTATCTGGGTGCAAAAGCATTGTCAATGGTCAAATGCGCGTATTGTGCCAAGAACATATGTTTTCAGCAGTTTGTCATCGAATGTCGCCGATGTGTTTAGAATCTTCAACTGTTTCCTTCAATAAAACAAAAAAAAATTGAAAAAAAAATTTGAAAAATCTTCGATGAACCCATCAGCATATTAGTGAATTTCTTCAAAAATCAAATGTCTGTTTTTATTTTTTTTTTGTCAAAAAAAATTCAGTTTTTATTTGCATTGAAAAAGTTTGAATCAAACGGCGACTTCCTTGTCGGCTCATCACTTCAGAAAAGGACCTCGTTGGCGTTGGCATCCATGGAGAGTCCGATCCAGGCGACGGTGGAGTAGGCAAGAGTCAATGCGACGAGGATGGCAGTGTAGATGGCGTTCATGGTTGTGGATCGGTTGGATCTTGGAAAATTTATTCTGGAAAATTTATTCTGGAAAATGCCTATTCATAACGAGAAACTCCCGAAAAACATGTTTAGATTGCGTAAATTTTATTCCAGAGCCAGTTATGACAGCTTAAAATGAAACAAAAAAAATGTTGCAAAATTTTTGGCGTAGGTAGAATCGAACCTACAACCTTCCTCCTCTGAACTTGCCATTTTACCACTTTACCACACTGCTGAATGAAATCTATTGTTTTAAAAGAATAACACTATTCCGTGAAAAAAATTTGACGAGAAAGTGCTTAATCATAGGGAAACTTTTCTAGGTCATAACTCAGCTCACATGAGCATTTTGCTGATTTTTTGAACAGATTTGGAATCTCATAAGCTCTTCTATTTGCTCCCAAAATTTCAAAAAAAGTTAAAACTGCTTCCTCAAGTAACTCCCTTGTAAGATTCTAAAAGTTCTGAAATACCAGAAGTTATGAATGGAAAATGGTAGTTAAGGTGGAAAACATCTTCTTTTTTCCACCTTACTTCTTTCTTTTTCTTTTCCTACACATCAAAAACCCTTCCCGGAATCGCTCTTTACATGCCCGCTCCACCTGTCTTCTCCTTAACCACATGGGTATAGTGACCGGCGTGAGCCCGGTTTTTGTCGGTACACGCGTTGCCCCTACACCCGTCGCCTCGCCGTCCCTTTATCGCTTCTTCGGCTTATTAGCTAAGATCAAAGTGTAGTATCTGTTCTTATCGTATTAACCTACGGTATACACTCGAATGAGTGTAATTAAGGTTATATGATTTTTGGAACCTAGGAAAGACTCGGGGCTTGCTCCGACTTTCCAAGGGTCGTCCCGGCGTTGCACTGCTGCCGGGCTCGGCCCAGTCCCCGTGGGGACAACAAATACCGAATTACCATGTGATGAAATGTCGAAATGTTTTAGGAAAATTGAGCATAAATGTTTGATGTGTCAAAGCGAGTTTCGTAGATTTAGAGTCTCGGGGGACAACAAAAACCAAACTTCCATGTGATGCTAGCAATGCTATCATGTCATTATTAGATGTCGCTGCATCATCATTTCCAAAAATCGTACAGTTGAACTTGTAAGCAGACGGCTACTGTAGACAAGTCTTCTTTTTCAACTTCAGGACAAAATAAACTAATCCTGTCATTATCCTAGAAATTCTCTTTCTGGAAACTCGCAGATTCAAATTCGAAGTAATTGAATACAAGAAAACTCAATATTCTGTGTTCTGTGTTTGGAGTCTTCTGTCTTTTCCTTTTTTCACGTAATTTTGAATCGATGTAAACAGTCAGGTTCATTGTATAAAACACACGCACACACTGATTTTAAACAACCAGAGAGAACAAATTAAAAGTTTCAGTTTTTGTAGAGCGAGGAGGAAGCAATATATCATCAGTGGGGTTTTGGAAAATCGGAAATCTTGATTTTTTTTTCGGGAAAATTAATACAACTGGGATTAGGAGAGGGCATCGGAGACACGAAAAGCTGCGGGAAAGGGTTACTACGCGATACTCGGCTAAAGGAAGAAGGGGAAAAAGCTCAATTCATGGATTCTGGAAAAAGAATCAGAGAAACTGCGACGGCGGGAGGATGAAAAATCAGTGCGCGGATTTTTGAGAAAAGGAAAATGAGAGGTATCAACTAAATATATGTACATTTGTTTCTGAGGAAAAATTGGGGGGAATGGGTTTTTAAGGGGAGAAAAAGGAAAAGAAAAGAATCTGACTAAATCTAGAAAGCGGCTGGGCCGTGATGGTGAGAAAATTTTTTGGGGAGAAAAATGAAGGGTTCTTCTATTGGGTCCAGCCAACTAGGAGGGAGGAGAGTGGTTGTGGGTGTTGCTAGGCTACGAAAATGGATGGATGGAGGAGAGTAACTTTGGGCTGAAAAATGAAATAGGGGTTAATGGACAGGGCGAGGTCTGATTGGTGGAGGTGGAATAGTGTAATCAGAAGCAACGATTTGATCCATTTGCATTCTTTGTGTAGAATCCAATGGTCCAAGTGTGGTCATGAGACAGTACCAATTGGCAGCACGGACACGAGTGGCTGCTTGTTGGACAAGACAAAGGATCTCAACAAGGACTCCAGCTTCTGAAAACAAGAATTCATTAAAAATTTCCTCATTTCTGCTAAATTACCTTTCTCCTCGTCATAATGAATCGCTTCTCCTCTCAGTTGCTGAAGAATCAGAGCTCTCTCATGAACTCGGCTGTGGTATAGGCTTGAGATGGCCTGGAGGAGTTCAGCGAGTGTCTGATGAGCAGCCATTGGCATTAACATTCCAGTGAGTTGTTCCATTTTGGCAAGAAGTGTGCTGATTCTTGCGTGCTCACGGAAGAAGTCCACAACCATACGATCGATTCGGGATGGAGCAGTTGGAAGTTTTGGAATCGGAAGGCCATTGGATGAAGAGATCTTTTTTCCAAGATTATGACGTGCCAATTCTGCTTCTGTTTGTTTTCTCTCCTTCTCCAGTTGTCTGTATTCATCAGTGACTTCATCTACTTTAGCTTGAAGAACTGCCATGAATGAATATCGCTGAAAAACTGATTTCGGTGGCCACTGCCGGTTGTTCTGTTGCTGTTGTTGTTGAACTGCCAGTGCTTGTTGCTGCATAATATAGGTCATATCCACTCCTGATGGCTGTGTCTGTTGACAAGCGGCTAGCTGGTTGCTCAGCACCTGAAGAAGGTCAACGTCTGTTGCGGATGTTTGACGGGTAGTGGTGGCAGAAGGCGTATTCCAGTAGACGTTCTGATTGATTTGAGCTGGTGGAGTGGTACGAGAGACTGGAGCCGGGCGGTGAAGAGGAGCATCGTCTTGTGGTAGAGACCATGGAGAAGAGGTGGATGGAGATGCAGAGGTAAAGATCGCATTTGTAGTTGCTGGAGTTGGTGGAGATGTGTTGAGATTGAGACGAAGAAGTTCTTGTAGAAGTGCATAGTCATTTGATTCGCTCTGGAATACTTTTTTGTAATCAGAAAACTAAAAAATATTCAGGAAACTCACCACTGGCTTCTTTGGTGCCGCGGCATTTTGAGTCTTAACAAGAGGAGAAGTGATTGGTGGTGGGATAAACCAGCTAGAATTCAAATCCAACTCTGAGCTCTTATTATTGTTGTTAAAAAAGGTTGGCGGATCGATTGGGCTGCTTGGCGTGTCACAAAGAAGACGATGCTCGTGATCATCTAATCCAGAAGATGGAGACGTCTGCGGTTGTGATGACGTGGAAGACCGGATGCTGTCTCCGTTGTCAGAGTCATTCTGTAATAGGATATCACATTGTACTTTTGGACCATATTCCGCTGTTCCATTCAATTTTTTCTTATCCTCCCACTTCTTCTTTTTTTCCCATTTTCCCATCATCATTACATTCATCTCAAAACGAAAAACGGCCCCCCCCCCGAGCGAGCGAGTGGAAATTTATGGCCCAGTCGTTTTTGCCCGTCGTCGTGTCACCGACGGACACCGAAGCTCGTAATGAGAAGCAAGGACACCCATCCTTTCAATTCGTTTTTTTTCTTCGTTTCGTTTCTTTTGTTGTAAATTAGAGAGTGCGACGTACGACGCTAGGAAGAGATGAAGACAACGATTTATGGCTCCTCTCATCTTCAAGGATGCGCGGCGCGGCGTCCATGAATGAGTCACACAGCTGCCAGATGCCACGTCATCAAACAGGGTACGGTTTCTAAACGACAGGTGTGCTACGGATATTTGAATCATGCCGCGCGCCAGCTGGTATTGTCTTTCACTCTAACAGGTTTTGTATTCATTATCTGATTCTATGCGCCATATACCGTATACCATAAACACCAATAGAAGGCCACCCTATTCTTGCACTTTGAGCTCAATTATCTCGATTCCTGTGAAATATATGAGAAAGTTGTCAACTGGTAAAGTGTTTATTATAATATCAGAAGCATTTTGACAGTTGACCATTTTTTGATATCTAGCAATGGAGCCAAGATAAATTAGCTCAAAGATAACAGTGTGGGAACCCTTCTATTACAGGTTTTACGGTACCCAGTTTTTTTTCCTAGTTTGATCTTTTTGAACACTGAGCCCGGATGTCGTGACAGTGCCAGGTCGTGGAAGAGGTGGTCAACAAAAGAGCCTCCAACTACTATTTTCCCACACTATATCTCATCAACAACAACAATGGATTCCAGTGGGGCATGGATGGGCGGGACTTGAGAGGATATGAAGATATAGAGAAAAAGAGAAAGAGGTCCCCCCTCCCATATCAACAACAACAAAGCCGGTGCCAGGTAGTGGAGATGTTTTTCTCTTTTGGCGCCATCTTGTTCTCTGCTCGTCTGGAGAACACCACATTTGTAACATGGAGCAAAGAACTGAAAAGAACTACTTCTCTTCTCTCTTCTCTCTATTTTTCCTCGTGTGTGGCGGCTCTGCTCTGCTTGGCGCCGTGCCAGCTCTCTCCGAACTTGGGGCGCGTGCTGCTAAGAGAAAGAAAAGAGACAAGAAAAAAAACGTCGTCGCGCCGGGAACGAGGCGACACCTCCCTTTGCTTTCAGGGTCATCAAACTTCAAGGTTTGGGTGATGGCGGACTGTCCAGAGAAGGTTTTTTTTCTTCTTCTGTGTCTCCATAGACCTCCCGACTGCCTGTATAACCATTCTCTCTAATTCTCTCTTTTTTTCGCTCGGCCCGTTTTGACTGGTACTGTCGGGTACGCAAATAAAACCGAGCGATGTTATGAGAAAAAGGTAATAAAGAGAAAGTTTAAAAAAGAGTGGGCTATTGGGGCGAGAAAGAAAAGGAACAGTTGGGTCCTGACTGATAACAGGTTTGCCGCCGTTTGTTTTGTTCGGAGAGAAAAAAAAAGAGAGAAAGGAAAAAAAAGAAAGACATCCCTACGGAAAAAAGTGCAAGGCGGAAGTAAAGGTCGAAAATGGAACACCAGACCTTCTGAAGAGAAGCCTTGATTAGATTTTGCAGAATCCTAAAAAATCAAAAAGTTTCTGAAACGAAAAATACCGAAAACACTCTAATAGAAGGGGAGCTTATACTTGCAGTTTAAGCTCAATTATCTCAAATTCTAGAAGAGATATGGAAAATTTTCCAACTGGTAAAATGTTTTTCATAAAATCACCAAAATTTTATCAGTTGACACATTTTTCATATCTCTTCTAGAATTCGAGATAATTGAGCTCAAAGTTTTCAAAGGTGTCCTCAAACTTTGGCATGTTTTGAGGAGACTAAAAAAATCTAGTGTTTCCTAGAACCTAAAATTTTAAAGCTTATGAGTTATAACCTATAAGGTATATGGATTGTATTTTTTACAATATCCCTAGAAGAATGAAATTCGAAACTTCAAAATTTGGGGGGAACTTTTCGTGTAATCTATTTGGTTCTTGGCTATTCAATTACCGTAAAAAATTAATCACCATTTTGCCAAGTTTGACCTAATTTGTCTTGGCTCCTGTGAAAGAAATCAAAAATGTGTCAACTGATAAAATGTTCATCATAATATAACAAACATTTTATCAGTTTACAACATTTGTCTATATTTTACAAGAATTGAGATAAATTGGCTCAAACGTGACAGTGCGGGGCCTTTCTATTGAGGCTACGGTATAGGTATTGTATTTTCTACCCTAATCCTATAAGGAAAAATCTTCGAATTTTTGTACAGTAACCTGATTCTTCTAGAAACCCAGAAATCTCCCTCTCAAACTAAATGTCGTAAATCTACTGCACTAGCTCAATCAGAAAACCTTTGAAGTTAGTTTCCAATTAATTCCCCGCTCCTATTCTCCCTGACAACTCCTTCAATCTTCGTCCATCAAACCGGAAAACTCTGTTCCTCTTCTCTTCTTCTTCTGACCACCGGAAGTGAGTGTCTTTTCAGTGAGTCCGATTTGGTGCGCGGGGTTGGGGAGCCAGATGTCACCCCGTCTCTCTCTTCAGATTCCCATCTCGTCGTCAAGGCAGCTGGCTCCCCTCGTCTTCTGAGGGGTGGTACCAGTTCGTACACCCCGCTTTCCGCGTCATTACCAATTCCATCCCCCAAGGCGCCCATTTCAACCGGTGGACTGGTGTCCGTTTTTCTTTCAAAAGTGCAAACGCATTGAAATTGCACCCTTTACAAGGACACAATGGTCTATAAATCAAGCCCCGTGAAGGCGCCAATTTGAATGCTGGTCACTCGGCCAAAAAACCATCTGCCTCATCCCTCACTGACCTGAGAATTGACCCATGAGTAGACACTGTGCCAAGTATCCGTTCCGTTGGCCCAGGTTGAACCAAAATCGTTCGTGAAGATCGCCTTGCTAGTCGGGTCCATAGTCCGAGCCATTTCTAAAAGTGATAAGGGTTATATATCAGGTGATTAAGAAAAAGAAGAAGAAGAAAAAGTAGAAAGTGCAAATGTGCCTCTTGGACCCATAGAGTCGGCACGGTCAAAGAGGAGAAAACGTATAGTGAATGAGAGCAGAAAAAAAAGAGAAAGTATGAATCAGAAGCACACCAACAAAAAAAAGTTTTAATATTCATTTCGATGGCGCCAGGAAATGTCGCCAGGCAACTTGAGCCAAAGTTCAATGCCAAAAAATAGGCACATCTAAAGCAGATCCTTTTGGAAACAAAAGTTGGAAAAATTTTGAAAGTTCCTGTTCCAGAATACAGTACTCTAGACAAGACAAGACCTCCCGATAAAAAAGGGCAAACTAGCTATAAAGAGATAAGGGGGAGGAGTCACGCAGAAGAGTGTATGAGACGAAGAGACGCAGAGAGACGACATTCAGTGTTCCAAGAGTGAAGAAGAAGCAATTTAATGAGATGGAACGGGAGTGATATATGGTGATGAAGGAGAGAAGAATGGGAGACGAAAACGAATTGTTGAAATTCGGAATGAATGAGAATCGGAATACCAAAAAAGGGCAAAGAACAAGAAGTGATGAAAACAGATAAGAAGAAGAAGAGTTAAAAAATCAGAAGTTGGAGAATTCGAATATAAAGAAGACGTTGGATTCAGAAGACGTTCCTGAAGAATCCTAAAGAAGATCCGAGACCACCCCAACACATTCTAAACTCAGCACTTACTGCCTCCCCCAGTTCTTTTCCCCTCTCGCCGTCTAATCGACACTCTCTCATTTCTCCTCTCGTTTCTCTTGCACCCTCTTTGGGCGCGGCCCTGGGTCGTGGCCGTCGGCGCCCTGGGTAGGCGCCGCCGACTTGCACCCGGACGGAGACGCAAAATAGTGGGCGGGGCGTACCACCCAGTGACTGGTAGAGCGCTCTTTACGCGCGCCGTCTCGCGTCTCTTCAGGAGCCAAGCAGTGTCTGGCAGCGGGGCGAGAGAGCGTATGAGACGAAGAGATTTAGAGTAGAGGGAACCTTGCAAAAATGAACAAAAATGAACTGCTTGATGAGGTCGAGATGGCTTAATTAAGGATATCATACATTGATAAGGACTTGATAAGGATAACAGTCCATAATCTTATTTTGAAGGATTTTGAGAATTTTCAAAAAATTGTGAATGAGAGAATGAGCGTTCAGAATTGAGATTCTCCTACAAAATGAAAAGAAGATATGAGAGAGAGAGAGAGAGAGAGAGAGAGAGAGAGAGAGAGAGATACCGTAAGTAACCCACAAAATGCTAATTTCTGTAAATTATCACGAAAAGTGGTAAGAAGGGCCTAAGAATCCTGATATTGTCTAACAAGGCGGCAAAAAAAAAAGAGAAGCACGACTGACACACGCACCGAGTTTGTCAGTTTAGTTTCGACTCAGATGGAGACGCAGAGAATGGCCAGTGGCCGAACAAACTAAGGAGACGCCGAAAAAAGTGGGAGGGCCGCAAAAAGAGAAAAGAGAGAAAAATGAGTAGTGTGGAGGGAAGAGGCAAAAAACGAAGCAACACATAAAATGTTGCAACATCGGAGCACAAAATAACGATCCTTCGAAGGAGAGGATGCTCCCCATATCAGAGGAACCTTAATTCCAAATGAATTTTTATTCCTCTTTCTCGCCGCGCCAAAAGTGGGTGGGGCATTCTTGGAGGGGGCGGAGTCGCTGAAAAAGGAATGAGCCACCTGGCATGAGAAGAAAAAGGGAATGAATGGACAGATGGAAATAATATATCATGAAATGGCCATTTCTTCTAAATCGGGTTGAAATCGTCTTGACCTAGACGACTGGTACCGACTGGCAGGTGTCGGTGGTTCTAAAGGAATTAGAGAATAGAAAAGAAGAAGTTGGAACAGAACGACAGATGTTCCAAAAAATTTATAGAATTGCACTTTTAAAAGGGGAAGAAGTAATAAGAGGTTTTCTGTTCAGAGGACTACGGTAGTTTGAAAACCGTAAAACCTGAAATAGAAGGGCCCCACAAATTTGAGCTGGATTATCTCAATTTGTATGCAAGATATTCAAAATTAGTCAACTGGTAAAATGCTTGTGAGATTATGAAAAACAATTTATTAGTTGACAACGTTTTGATATATTTTACAGGAATCGAGAATAACAGGCTCAAAGTTAAAAGTTAAAGGGCCCTTCTATTACATGTTTTACTGTAGGTCGTCTATGTTTTAGTAATTTTGAATTTCGAATGTTCGAAATAGGAAAAAATAGAGTCTTAAGAAACCAGTCTTCCCATAAAAAACAGCAATTCCAAAATTTAGAAAAAAAATTTGGAATTAATATTTTTCCGGTTTCAGATTTCTAGACTTTCTTGCGATAGTGTTCTTAAAGTTCTTTATTCGTCCTTTTATTCTTTCAAAGACTTAAGTTTTGGTTATTTGACGATATTGGTTCATTTGCTGCAAGCGTTTTATTCAGCGGAGCGCGGTTGCAAGGCGGCAAGAATTTTTTTGAAAAACTTTGTACTGAAAAACCAAGTTTCAGCAAAATTTAAAAATTTTTTTGCCATTTCAGCCTGGGAAACCTTTTGTATAGACGAAAAATTGGAAAAAGGGGATGAAAAGTGAAAAAAAAAATCGGGTTTCTAAATTGTTAAGAACAGTCCACTGGGTTCCAGACTGACTGCCGCCCTGTTATTTTTTTTAATTTTTGGGAAAACTGGCTGACTCATTTTTTTTTCAGTTTTAGTTCATTAATTGAGCAACTTGATTTGTTGAAAATATTCACAAGAGATGGGGTTGCCGAAAAGCGTACAAACGGCGGCTCGAAGTTTTTTTTATTTAGGCAAATGGGAAAAATGTTGGGACAAAAAGTTGAAAACAAATGACGAGATCTGAAAAAAATCACTGATAACAGGTTTAATTTTGAAATTTTGAAAAATTGTGCATTGATAAAAGATAAATTATCAGTACAGCATTGTTCAAAAAATTATGACTGGCTCATTTTTTTTCAGTTTTAATCATTTCCGGAAAATGAGCGACTTCTTGTTGGCAGCTCAATTCTGAAACCTACTGTAACCCTTCTTGACTTAGGCCACCCAAGCCATCAATTTCGGACCTATATATCTCGATTCCTGTAAACGATAACAAAAAGTGGTAAACTAACAAAATATTTTAGACATTATAATAAACATTTTGTCAAATTACTGCTTTTTGATACCTTTCCCAGGAATCGAGATACATGAGCTCAAAGTTGACGGTTTGGGTGTCTTTCAAATATAGTGTTTACAATATCTTTTGTCGGATTACTGTAAATACAGTTGTTCTTATTCCCAAAATATGCAATACAATTTTACTCCAAGTACACCACTATACTAGCCACCGTAATCCCTTCAAACCGTTATCAAACAAAAAATCAAACTACATTCTTTGTATTCTTCAACCCTTGGTGTCGTTCTGTCGTTCATCATTCGAAGCCCTCCCTGGGAAAATAGTCTTTTTCATTTCCTTCTTTTTTGCCTCTTTTTTCTTCATCATCTACGTCTTCTTCTTCTTCTTTTTTTTTGTCACAGAGAGAAAAAAACACTGATGTGGTGTACCCGCATTTCCTTTTGTCGTCTCCGATCTGCAAGGTCGATGAGGATGGCCCTATTCCAAGTTAACCAGTTTGTGTTCTTCGAAAAGTGCAAAGTTGGGGTAAACTAAAAAGAAGAAGAGAAACGGTTTTCCTCTCTCCACAGGCAAAACGACGCCACGACGAGCATGTGTTCGCAAAAAGTTTTTGGGATAAGAGTGAGAGAGAGAGAGAGAGGGGGAGAATCAGAGGATCAGAGAAAACAAACAAAAACGAAAGGCAACTATTCCAAATGTTGCTCAACTTTTTGATCGGCCCGAGTTGAAAAGAATAGATTGAACTTTTAATAGTGCACACATACAATGGTAATGAATAGTGTGAAGCTAAAAAAATTATTGAGACTAGGACTTGAGGAACCTAGAGACTCTTATACTACCGAGTTTGAGCCAGTTTATCTCGGTTCCTGTGAAAGTTATCAAAAATGTGTCAACTGATAAAATATTTGTGACATTATGATAAACAATTCATCAATTGACAACTTTTCTATATCTATGACAGGAACCAAGACAAAATCGGGTCAAAGTTATAGGTTAGGAGGCCCTTCTATTACAGGGATAAGTGAAAGAATTCAAAGTAATGACTTCAGGGGATACTGTATCTGAATAAAAATTAACCTTTTTCTCAAAATTGCGATAAGTAAAGTCTTTTCCAGAATACTTTTTTCCAGAAATTCTCGTTGCAGAAGTCCTGGCGTTCTATTAGAGTGTTTACGGGAGAATGAGCTCAAATTTCTTGTAAGGAAGTGTTGTTTCCATAACCATTTCCCACAACTTCACTACACGTTCGTTAATAATCTGTGACACAGATTCCAGTGTTTTGTCTCTGTTCACAACTGAACACATGTAAACAACTGACCACCTTGTTGTCTTCCTTTCTCTCAAAAAACGCTCATTTCGGAATTTTGACCAATGCGTTTGTCCCGCGTTTTCTATCTCTTCCTTCTTTTCTCAAAACTCTCTCCAACTTATTTTCATGAATTGTTCACCTAATTATATTGTTGTTGTTAGTCGACCGTCAACAAAACCAGCGGCACACATTCCCATATTATTGTTTATCCGTTTTGTCCCAAAAAAAAGTTGAAAACGAAGAGCGATAGCTGAGGTTTAAAAGCCTAATTAGGTAATGATTGTGTTTGACTTTACCAATTGAGACAACTCAAAATTTCAAAATTTGAAATTCAAAGCAAGAATACCGTATTTCCTTCAATAGAAGCCCACCTTTACGGGCAAATTTGAGCTCAATTATCTCGATTACTGTGAAAGACAACAAAAAATTTAAACTGATAAATTATTTATCATAATATCTCCAATATTTTATCAGTTAACAAAATTTTTATATCTTCCACAGAATCGAGATAATTGAGCTCAAAGTTGACTGTTAGGTTGAGCTTCTAATAGAGGAAATACGGTACTTGTAGTTTTTTGAAGACTAAAATTCGAGTGTTACTGTAGAATTACGGTAGCTAAACACAAGAATCCTTTAGTTTTTCTTCAATGCCTTCCCAGAAAAGAAAAGGAATCTTTCGAGAAAAAAATAACGAAACATTTCGAAATTCCCTGAAATTTCGTAATATTGGATCTTCTGTCGAGTACTCACACAAGAAGTAAATACATTTATTTTCATGTGTCATCTCTTGCGCGAAAGGGGAAAAATACGAGCAATATGCTCATTTATTCAGAATACCGAAAAATCAAGGAACAATGAAAATGCCATCTAGAACATGGTAGTTTGGACCGAACTTGTAAACCGGGTCGTTAGCGGGCCCTGCCATAGTTTCTTTCAAAATCAATATTTTCGAACCAATCAAATTTGATATGATAGAACTCGATGAGTACTGCAAACTGATACGGATTACTGTATCTTGTCTATGGTCAAAGTTACAAGCCATAAAGTGGCTGATTAGGGCCTGCCTGAATTTTTTCTGTAGTTTTGCTCAGATACAAGCTACAGTATACTAAATAGTATCATTTTGTAGTACTCATCGAGTTCTATAATATCTGATTTAGTTGGTCCAAAAACATTAATTCCAAAAAAAAATTTGGCAGGACCCGCCAAAGACCCGGTTGACAAGTATGGTTTTGATAATAAATCATTCTTTTCTAGTAGACTTTTTAGGCGAGAATCTGATTATATGTTGACACATTTCCGAGATTCTAATGCTCCAAACAAGACTTGATAAGCTCAATTTCATTTTTGAACTCTCTGGCGAACTATTGAAAAGTTTTGAATCTAATAAATTTGTATCTACATATTTACTCATATTGACAACAACAAAATTAATTTAATATTACCGTATTTCCTTTAATAGAAGCGCACCCGAACCGTTAACGTTGAGCTAAATTATCTCAGTTCCTATAAGAAATATTAAAATTTTGTTAACTGATAAAATGTTAATGATATTATGATAAACATTTTGTCAGTTGACAACGTTTTTGTATCTTTCACAGGAGCCGAGATAATTGAGCTCAAAGTTGGCTGTTTAAACTTGTAAGTTTTTTTTTGAGAATGGGTTACTGTGGGTCTGAATAGTTTCTTTTTGTGTCTTTAAACCTGAACTAAAAATAACCAAAAATATCTACAAGAACACATGTTTTATTATGCCTCCATGTCGTTTTTTTTTCTCCAGAAGTAGTCAATTTTTTAAAGTGCAGAATAGACACTACCAGTTGTATAGCCGACTTTCGTGATCAATGATTCATATCCACCGTCAAGAGTACATTCCTACCAATCAGATAGATTACTAATAAAAAAGTCGTTTCTGATGGCGGTGTTGATCCACACTTCCGTATCATCCATCTGCCTGGCACGGGCCGCAAAGAAATGTATGTCAGAAACAGAGAGTCTCCAATAACTATAAATCTGAAAATGTGTGAGCGCGCGTACTTGCACTTTCGTTTCTCTAGGCGCACCCAAAAATCAGGGAACAAGAGAGCACGGAACCATCGGAGAGAGTTGTTCGGGACACGACCACCCGGCACCGAGTGCCTCGGTTTTTTATGGCGTCGAGAAACAAGAGGAAGATGGTTAGACGCAGATCCTGTGCTCAAAACTATTACATTAAATGAGATTGAGCACGGCGGCCTTCAGAAGAAACGACCTCCCGAGAGGACGCTTGAGACATTCTTTCAAAAGGGCAAGAAGAACACGAAATGTGTGTAACAGATAGAAAGAAGGGACTTTGCTTAATGACTATACGATTCAGCAGCAGGAAATGAGATTTTTCAGAGCGATTCTTTTGCAACACAAAGTACAAATATTTGAGGGAAGGGAAACCACAAAAATTTAATACTTTTATTTAAACGATATGTATAAAAATTATAATTCTGTAGATCACATTCCAAGTCCCCCGGTAACTTCCAGAGTAGTACCAGTGACATAGGATGACGTATCTGATGCTAGAAACAAGACAGCGTTGGCAATTTCCTCTGGTTCTCCGAGTCTCCGCTGTGGGACCATAGAAACCATTGATTCTAGAACTTTCGGAGGCATCGCTTCTGTCATTGGAGTGCGAATGAATCCGGGCAGAACGGCATTGACGCGGACATTCTGAAATTTTGTGGAATGAAAAAGATAGACAAAAATTTGTATGGTACCTTGGTAGCGAGCTCTCTAGCAGCAGACTTTGTGAATCCGATGACTCCGGCTTTTGTAGCAGCGTAGTTGGTCTGGCCGAAATTTCCGATTTTCCCAACAATTGATGACACATTCACAATTGATAAAGGGGTCTTGCTTTTCACCGATTCGCGTGCTACCATTTGAGACATCATAAATATACTGTTCAAGTTGACATTCATCACATCTTCCCACTGCTCTTGACTCATTTTCAGCAAAGTAGAATCCTTGGTGATTCCAGCACAATTGACGAGCACGGAGGGAGAAGTTTTCCAGTTTTGAATAAACTCTTTGAGGCGATTCACATCATTCAACTGGAATTTTGAAAATTGGCTTCGAAATAAGTTGCGTTTTACCTTGCTGACATCAATCTCGAAAGCAGTATGTGCACTTCCAGTTAAAAGCTTTGCTGTGTTTTCTGCAGCTGACTTCTTCAAATCAGCGACAATTAAATTAGCTCCAGACGCAGCAAGCTTTTTACAGATTTCTTGTCCGATTCCAGATCCTCCACCTTAAAAACAAAAGCGATTACAAAGGATTTGGAGGAACGTGTTACCTGTGACGATAGCCAGTTTTGAAGACAACATGACACCTTAAAAAGAAAAAGAGGAGAGCACCGGCATGTTGGAGCATTTTTAGCTTTCAACACATTCAAAGCAAGTTGAGATAGTCGTGTCGAGACCGCATCTCTTGAAATCGTGTTTCTATGAAATACCGTAATTTTACAACTTTTGAAGAGATGTAGTCTTGACACGATACAGACGTTCAGGCACTCAGGCACTCAGACAGAAAGACAAAATTTTACGTATTTTTGCTAAATACCCCATAAGAAGTCCTGAAAACAATAGACTTTCAGAGATTTTTATAAAAATATTCATGAATTTAGAGACTGTGAAAGACGACGAGACGCAGAGTCTCCGGCGGTACGGTGGGCGAAACAGTGCAAACACCACACCAAGGGCGCGATTTTCAAAAATGGTTCCCAAACGCAACTGTTTCGCGCACTTTTTTTCAAATGTTGATTTTCTTTTCTCCGAGATGTGGGTGGCGTACCATGAATACCAGGTGTCTCACATAACTGTTGTCAAAATTTCTATCATACTTCCTATTCTTCCGCTTCAAAGTTTATTTTTAGGCAATGCCATCATTAGCTCTCGGATCAGAAAAAACTGAAAAGCGGCGTTCAACGAGAATTTCACAAATGGTTGTACCGGTAGTCAAGAAGACGAATACTCGATCATCAAGATCATTGCATTTGAAAGGAGCTCCTCAACGACAAGAAGTGTCTGATTCCAGCGCTTCTTCCAGTTCAGGTTCTTCTGATGAAGACGAATATCAGCCAACGGAGAATGATGTGCAAGATGAAGCCGACGATCACATGGATTACAAGGAATTTTCTCCTGAAATTGATGAAGACTTTTCTGATAGCCCACCTGTGAGATCTCTTCGGTCAAGAACCAACTCTGATAGTAGCGACAAGGAAAATGGAAGGAGGCGCACGAGGAGTACGAAACGAGCTGCCAACGAGACGCCATCAAAGATTCTTGCTGAAAAACTAAGCAAGACATCCTTGACAACGCCGAAGAAGAATTCAGCAAGAGACTTGAGATCTTCTAAAACTCCGACTAAACGGAAGGATGAAACTCCTCGGGAAAATATGCAAAAATCGAGAGGAAGGCCAAGAAAGGTGTTTCTAGAATCAGATGGCGATTTATCAGAAGAGGAAGACGTTTCTAACAAGAGGTAAGATTTTTGTTCTATGGGACGTATACTAACGCATTTTTATAGGGAGAATCAGACCCCAAGAGAGCGATTGACTATGAAGATACCTAAAAATATGATAAAGCCAAGAATAACACCCGTTGTTATAAGCAAAACTCCTGGCGGCACCCTTCGAACAAGACGGCGGATGAGACAGAATAGCGAGGAACTGGATGACGTTGTGGATCCACTTGACTCAAATTCTGCGAAAACTCTAAAAGAGCTGGCTAGTCGACTTCATTTGTCAAAAGTTCCCGAACAACTTCCATGCCGAGAGGCCGAGGCTCGAGAGATTGAGAGTTTTATCCGTGAAGTAATTGACCGGAAACGAGGAGAAAGCTCTGCAATGTATATTAGTGGAGTTCCTGGAACCGGGAAAACAGCTACTGTCAGAGCGGTATGTCCTATTTTGATGTTATTTAGGATTGAAAATGGGTTTTCCAGGTCGTGAATGCTATGAAAAAAAACGCAAAATGTCCAAAATTCGTATATGTCGAAGTGAATGCAATGATCTTCAAAAAAACTGTATTCGTCGAGATTCATAATGGGTAAGTTAACTAGTTCTTGGATCCACCTCTCACAAATTTTTTTCAGCATTCAAGAAGAATTCAATATTTCTAAAAAGAGCCAAACCCGCGCAAAGATCTCCGCAAGCACTGCTCGTCAGGAACTGAACGATATATTCAAAAAGCAAGATTCGAAACGCCCTCCCATCGTCATCCTCATCGATGAACTCGACAGTCTATGCAACCGGAAACAAGACGTTCTTTATGATATTTTCGAATGGACCGCTCTTCCACAGTCTAAAGTCACCATCATTGGTATTGCCAACACTTTGGATTTCCCAGAACGAATGCTCTGTCAAAGGAATGCTAGTCGTCTCGATAAACGTCGGCTGGTTTTCCAACCGTACCGACATGAACAAATTCAAGAAATCGTCCGTGCCCGCCTTCAAGGATCCAATTTGGTTGAGAAGAAAGCTGTCGAGTTGGTTGCCAAGAAAATCGCAATGAATACTGGCGATTTGAGACAAGCTCTTGATTTTCTGTGTCGTTCGATTGGAGTAGCTGTGGAGAAGAAGGCTGAAAAGTTGGAGGTTGTCCATGTACTAGAAGCTCAAAAAGCCGTTCTTGAATCTCTGAAATATCGACTTGTGAAGGGACTCCGACTCCATCAGTTGACATTATTCCGTGCTGTTGAAAACTTGGTGAGTACCTTGTTTCAGCTAAATACAAATTTACAATCATTGCTTTCAGACTCGCGAAAACGAAGAAGTGATTTTCGCCGAAATTTACAAGAACTACTGTATCATCTGCTCAAAATTGTCTGGAATAGAGCCAGCTTCAGATAACTTTGCCTATGGAATGCTCCTCGAATTAGCAACAACTTCGCTGGTGACCTTGGCGAGAGGCGATCAGGGAACAATGAATCGACGTGTCAAACTCGGGATGACTACGATGGAAGCTGAAAGAGCAATCAAAGAAGCAACCGAGAAGCATAAATCAATTTATTCAGTTTAGTACTTTATATATTCACTATATTTATATTTGCTATGTTTCCCTATAAGGGGTTTCTATTTAGATTTTTTTTTTGGTTTCTTTTCAATTTCTCAGAATTACTATACTAAACAAATGCATTCACAAATGAAAAATAAAAACTGCAATTTTAGAAAATTTGTATTTTTAGCAGTTTATTCTGTTGGTCTCTATTTCTTTTCTGATTTTTCTGAATCTTCCAGAAACTTGCGATTTTCAGAAAATGCTCACAGAAACTGAGCAAAGGTCAGTGAAGAAAAATGCTCGGCGAGCTCTCGATTTATTAGATGACCAAGTTTTCGGTTTAGCAGAGCAAGAAAGGTGAGAAACGAAAAGTTCGTCCATGGCCGCGGACTAGTTTTTGCAACGCATTTTAGCGTCTGATTTGCCTATTACAATGGATTTACAGACAAATCGAGAACATTGTCTACGATTTTCTTCAATCAAAAGATGGAAAATGCTGCTTGCTCGAAGGTTTGTTTCTTAGAACTTGACTATTATTGATTGATCGCTTTTTTTAGGAGAACGGAATTGCGGCCGGGAAAGCACCGTTCGCAAGGTTATGGAAAAATATAAGAAAGAACTACGAGTGATTAATGCTGGATTTGTGGCTGCTGACCCGACTTATCAACAGGAATTGGCTAGAGAAGAGGACAGCGGCTACTCGATATTCTTGGTACGCGACGCTGACAAGCTGATAACTCCTCAACAACAGAAGATCCTTTACACGATGGTCGATAAAGCAACACACTTCTCTTGGCTAGTTTTCTTTTCGATTTCGAGACACGACTTCGCACAAAATCTCCAGAAACAGGCGACTTCTCGCATTCCGAAAGTTCAAGTATCATTCGATACGACTCATAATTATGATGAATACTGTTCCGCAATGGCACAACTTTTGATTCCTAAAGGCTCAAAATGTGGTAAGAATCATATATTTATGAATTTCGAATAAACTTGCAGAACTGAATTTTCAGATGATGATAAATGCTACAAAAAATTCATCACCAGCCTAAACTTCGAAAAATGGTTGAGACCAGTGTTTCAGGTTGATTTTTTGCTTGTTCTCTGTACAATATTGATTTTCAGACAAGTCGCTTTGTAGTTTTGAAACAGATTGCTGCTCAAATTCTAATGCTCTTTGGATACTACTGCGAAGAGTGGGAGAGTAGCGGAATCAATAAAACGATCAGCGCGATTGTCGCAAGATCGCTTCCTTCATATAACGAGAAAGTCATAATTCTGAAAGGTTCGATTTAAAAAATGTAAAAATGTATAGTTAAAAAAAACTAATTTAAAGATCAAACTCGCCGATCCCAATGTGTTTTCCTGTGTGTATGGAAACTTCTTCAGAACAAGGAATCAGATGGGCCGTTGTCTGTTCCAAAAACTTCGTATCGGAATGTGTTTCTCGGTGAGATCATTTACCGTAAAACCTGTGACAGAAGGACCCCCTAACATATAAATTTGAGCTCAATTATCTCTGTTCCTGTGAAAGCTATCGAAAAGTTGTCAACTGATAAAATGCCTATTATAATATCACAAACATTTTATTAATTGACAAATTTTTGATATCTCTTACAGTAACCGAGATAAATGGGCTCAATTTCAACAGTGCGGGTGACATTCTGTCTAAGGTTTTACGGTAATGAATGTCTTCAACCGCTCTTATCACTACAGAGTTCAAAAAGCTTGTCAACAGTTACTACCCTCCACTGAACGTCAGCAGTGATATTTTTGTGTTCCGTGAATTGGATCATCTCGTGAAGATGGGAGTTTTGAAAGCAGACGAGAGCACGAATGTGACGAACACTTCCTTCAGGAAAGTCTGGACTCAAATCAATGACACCGTCGTGAAGGATACGATTCCGCAACTTCAACTCCCAATACAGATTTCCGATTTCTTTGAATCTATTTCGAAATAAAAATGTACAATGAACCTTTCATATTTCTGGTTGTCTCCTATTTTTATTTTATACATCTCCGTTTTCAATTGCGGTTTGATACTTTGTTCTTCAATTCATTTATTCAACAATCACCTTTTGCATATGACAATCACTTATTTTCCAGATGTCCCACGAATACGATACGGTTGCGCCGCCAAACGCTAAGCGCATGAAGACCGATGCGCATCTAGAAGAAAAGAAGATCTTGTACGTGGTACTCGAAGGATGTAGTCTGGAAACAGCGAAAGTTGGAGGAGAATACGTTATTCTGAGCAGTGATAAGCACGCCAACTTTCTACGAAAATCAAAGAAGGATCCAGCCGATTATCGTCCGGATATTCTGCATCAGTGTCTTCTGAATCTTCTTGACAGCCCGCTGAACAGAGCTGGAAAGCTACGAGTCTTCTTCAGAACCAGCAAAAATGTGCTTGTTGATGTGTCACCACAGTGCAGAATCCCAAGAACTTTTGATCGGTTCTGCGGACTCATGGGTTAGTAGTGTTGACTTCTTTTCCATTTTTGAAGATTTTTTTGCAGTTCAACTCCTTCACAAGCTATCAATTCGTGCCGCTGAAACTACTCAAAAATTGATGTCGGTCGTCAAAAATCCGGTCTCGAATCATTTGCCAGTCGGCTCGCGTAAAATGCTTATGTCATTCAACGTACCGGAATTGACAATGGCCAATAAGCTCGTCTCTCCGGACACTGACGAGCCACTCGTTCTGGTTATTGGTGGAATCGCAAGAGGAAAGGTACGATAACATCTCTTTCACGCCATCTGTTCATATTATTATTATAGATCGTTGTCGATTACACCGACTCGGAGACCAAAATCAGCAACTACCCATTGAGTGCCGCATTGACTTGCGCCAAAGTGACGAGTGGTTTGGAAGAGATTTGGGGAATCATTTAACTTTTTTGTTTCGTTTTTTTATTCATTTTTGATTACATTGTTGTCTGTTATTGTTACCATTCGAATAAAGTGCAAAGCTATCAATTTTACTCAATCGGGGCTCATAAATCCTAATACCTCCCAGCACCACCTGCATCTCATTGCCATGAAATGAGACGAATCCGTGATGAATGAGCCGTCGTCTCAGAGAGTAGAAGAAGGAGAAGAAGACACGCAATACAGATTAGGAGGTTTTGCGATTCAAATAATGAGGACCTGATGGAATATGGCACCTTATGTTCACAGACTGTTTGCGGAGCTAGAAGAAGAAGGACAAGGGGAATGTAAACAAAGAAGATATTACTCTCGTCCGAAATCAATGCACGTTGCGGCCGAAAATTTACTCAAAATCGCATCGTCGGCCACACAGCGAAAAAACAAATTGATGCATGCGCCTTTAAATACCGTACCTCGGACGTTTTTTATTTTGGGCCCTATTTGGCTGTGTTTTTCTATTTTATAAGAAAAATAAATTAAAGATTTATAAGAATTACACAAAATTAGACAGAAACAAGCGAAAAATTGAAGAAATTTGAGAAAATTCGATAAATGTTGAGGTACTGTATTAAAGGCGCGTGCAATAATTTAAAAAATACAGTAAGGTTCTCTCCGTGGGAGCTAAGCTCCGCCCACCGTTGTTTTCTCGGCCGCAACGTGCATTGATTTCGGACAAGAGTAATACTGCCGTCATTGCATTATGTAAGCATTGTTAGGAGGGGGACCTTCTCCGTTTCATTGCCATACACATGAGTCAGTTCAGGTCGGACGAGTCGCAGTAGTGTCTTCACTCTCATTCTGCGTCTCTCCCTAATTCCACGCGCATCGATCGCTGCTGACCGCTCTGCGTCTCTCGCCTTCGCCACGCTCTCTCACTTTCGCTTCACTCTCCGTATGCTTGTGAGACGTTCTGGGAGGCCTTGAGGCCACTGGCTAGCAGTTTCAAACTGTTTAACCCGATGTTTATCCATCTGCGTATCTCATTAATTCGAACTGTGTCTAGCTCAATTTGGCTGATGCTTATTTTCAAGATTTTCTGCATTTTTTAAACATAATTTTTTTCTCTATTTTTTAGTAATTTTTCTCTTCCCTTTGAGCGGAGTGTTTTCTAATTTTTTGTTGATTATTTTCATCAAATACCGTAATCTCATTTCCGTTCGAAATCCAAACAAATTTTGCTGCATTTTCCTTTAGACTACTGTAATCTTTATCGACTTCTTTGCCTAATTTTGTCCAATTTTTGCGATAGATATTTATTTTCAAGCTTGTCCCTTTTTCTCACTTTTTTCAGATAATTTCACAATTTAGATATTCTTTATAATGATCTGAATTTTCTCATATATACAAAAATGTTAACATAAATTGTATTACTAAATACTTTGATTTTCCAACTCTGTCCATTTTAATGACACAAAAAATCCTACTATATGACTACTCTAGCTCTTTAATGCCCACCGGAACGATGGATTGGCTTCCGGAGGTTTTTCTGGAATTCAGAAGAAACTGAATAATCATCGTGATTTCATTTTGTTTCTCTCTTGTTGCCGTTTTTACATTTTTTGCCGCTGCGCCCATCATGATTCGCATTTAATTAAATTCGACCAAGAACTACAACACACACCCATCTATACTGTTCTCTTCTCTTCTATTCTTTTTGCAATTATTGAATTTTTTCTCTAATTTTCACCAGAAAAAAAAATTTCTTCATTTCAATTCAACTTTTGTTTGCTCAGCTCCCTACCTGTCGTCAATGCGTTTAGAATCCAATGCGCAACACGATTCCCCCCGAAAAAAACCTCTAAACATTCTTTTTTCTGTTGGTTTTTGCTATAGTTTCCTTGTTCTTGTAAATTTGGGCTTGTCGCCTTCTCATTTTCTCAATACCTTCTCCACTTCCGATCGCAATCGCACCCCGTCCGTTTCAACGGAAACAGACGACGCGTCGCGAAACGAATCGAAACTTTTTAATGACATTATCTCCACTTTCGCCCTGTTGCGTCTTCTTCGGATACCGCGTATCTTTAATATGTACAATATGTTGGAATAGTGTCGGCGCAGAAGAAAACGGGAAGAAGGAAAAGGCAAAGAAAAGAGAAATATATTGGCATCGCCCCAAATATGATATTGGAGATTGAAAGTGAATTGAGGAATATTCAGAATGTACAAACCGCAGAAAAATCCATAAACCGCTGCTTGTAACCCTTTTTCTCGTTTTTCTGAACAGTTTGACATTCTGAGAGCGATATTTGAAAAATAGGGATAATTTTATTTTTAATGATTATTCATAGAATAAACCATGCATGTAAGATTCTCCCTTTTTGGTAATTTTTTGCCAAATGGAAACGTTCAATATTCGAAGATTTGCAAAAAGTCTGCAAACACCGAATTCGACGACAGTTTGCGAAATTTTTCAGAGATTACTGTAGGGTAATAATAATTTGCAAAATTCGAGCTGGAAAAAATTCTTAGTTTCGACTTTATTCAGATGAAAAACATCTCAAGTTCTCCGAATCTTTTTTTCCTTTCTTTTTTCCCGTTATAACTCTTTCTGTCTACAGCAGTTTGCGGTTTCAAATTCAAAAAATGTGACTCCTTTCCTTCCTACCATGTGTCTCTTGTCCCCGTTTTCTCCGCCACAAAGAACCATTTTTCATCGCTTAAATCGCTTCATCCAAAAATCCGTTAACTTTTTCACTTCTTTGTAGAGACTACCATTTGACATACGAAACTCCAAATAGCTCCGACAAGTAGCTGAACAAGAATCACGTAATGGAAAATAGGTTAACACCAACGAAGTAACTCTAAAAATTGTGAGTTTTGTAAAAAGAATAGGACGTTAACAAGCTCAATATGAACATTTCAGCGAATAATGTCAAGAGATTCCCGATATCTATTGGCAGGTGGGAACAACACCTTACACTCGGAACAGATTCGAGCTGAAATACAAAGGTTCGAAAGTGTCCATCCGTGCATTTATCAGGTTAGCTTTTTTACTTGCGATTTTGGGGTATTCTTGACCTGTAAAAACTACAAAAAAGAATTAAAAACTCGGAGCCTGAACAAAAAATCTAGCTGAAACTTCAGGGAAACTGGAAAAAAAACTATAGGGTATATTGCCGAAATTTAGCTGGAATTCCAGCAAAATCCCCATTACCCTCAAATTCGCCTATAACTCAATTCGTATCATATCAATCCCTTATTGAAGGCTAAACCATTATTCCCCTATTTATTGCGAACACGGTGCCATCTGTCTCTCCAGTGTCTGCGTCTCCAATCCCTCTAGGGGCAGTTAGTTTTTCGAATTGGTCACACATTCGACCGTATTGTTTTCTTTTCTGTTGTGCTGATTTTTCATCAAAATACAGAAAAAAAAGAATCAGTCATGACTAATCAGTTATTTCGGGAACTGAATTTTGATCAGGCAAGTTCTGTGTATTAAAAAAAAAGAATTAATTAAAAAATCTAAAATTCGTTATTTTCAGATATACGATCTGCTGAATCTTCTACCCGATGGATGCCATGCAATAAGTGAACAAATTCGAGAACAAATTGTTTCTGTCGAAGGTGAGTTTTATTTTAAAATTTAAAATATCGCAAAGCCTGTAATAGAAGGGTCCAATCTCGTTTCTTTTAAAGATAAAAATAATTGCCGCCTGATAAATTTTTTATCAGGGCGACACCCTTTTTGTATCTTGCATAGGACCCAAGAAAAATCAGCTCAAACTTGACAACGTGGAGGTCCTTCTAATACAGGACTTCTATGAATTTCTGAGTGCTCTTTCTTGGGTAAGTTCTTTAAAACCTTACCCTCAAAATTGTCTTCTTAGATTCTCCTTTTTTCGCTGGCAATTAAAACTTCAACCCTACCAACGAGTGTATCTAGGATAATGGCTCCGCGACGTTTCGAAAGACGACGTTTCGAAAGTGTGACGTTTCGCAAGTGTGACGTTTCGCAAGTGTGACGTTTCGCAAGTGCAACGTTTCGAAAGTAACAGCTTTGCACTTTTATGCATAAAAGAAAAAGCAAAAACTTGTATTTGAGTATTTAAATGGTTTTTCGAACAGAGCTTTATATATTTGAAGCTTTCAAAGCATTAATTGCCGTACTTGCGAAGCCAGGATAATAGAAGCCAATTACAACTTTCCTCTCCTTCGAGGCATCATCTTTCCCTAATAAGCGCGTACCTCACTCTACCGTCACTCGCTAATTGTAGTTGGCGTTTCTAAGAAACTTCTAAATACTGTCAGCCTCCCGATTCTTCACCATCCAGCTTCTTCTTCTATATAGACTTCTCAGACGCTTCTTCTCTTACTTTTTTCTTATGTTCTAGAACTTTAAAACATTGTTATTGAGTTTAGAAATGTTACGAAATGTGTTTCTCTCAAAATCAAATATGGAGCTTTCCGGAAATTCAGAAGAAGATCTCTGACTCATTTTTTGGTTAAATTAGGTTAGCAATGCTAACTTAGCATCAGACATTGCGTTGACCCGACTTGTATTTTCTACTCCCAATTTCTCTCCCTTTTGTACCACTTTTCATGTCATTTTTCTGTCATTTTGTCCGTTCCATGTTCCTGCTCTTCAATGAAAAAACCCATGCATTCTGCTCTCTCTTGGCACCACCAATACGACACAACGCTAGAGATGCCTCTCTTTTCCGTGTCGTTTTCTCCTCCTTTTCTTTTTTATTTGAATAAAAAATTGGATGGCATTTCGGTCGGGAGAGCCCCATCTAACTAACACACTCATTGCTGCTTCACGCATTCCAGCAGCAGCAGGGTCCTCCTCCTCCCACTTTTGTGTTATTTTCCCTCTCAAATAGTATATCTAATAGTAAGAAGACTCAACACTTGGCTACTTAATTTCTATTTTTTTTCTCGGGTGAACAGTACCGCTTGATTTTCAGGAGTTTGGAGCTCGGCCGGCTATCAAGTTTCTGATCACTTTGAAAATTTTGGAGGGT